CGCACATCGCCTGTTTCATGCATTTCTGTTGTACAGAGCAAAAGCGCTGCTACAGTGAGCAAAAACTCGCATTGTTATGGATGTGTCTGTGCGGATGAGTGACTTTTGTCCTCCAATTTCAAGTTCGGCAATGCGAGAAGTTAAACGGCTGAAATCTTTGGAACATACTCCCATATGATGTGCGACCCTCTTGCTTTGAAATTACCGTTTATGCACGCCTTGGTTCACGTATGGACGCTAAAAAAAATATGTAGATTTTTGGCAAGAAGCGGTTTTGAAGACCGCTTAGCTTAGGAGACTTGAACATTACATGGTTGCTCACTGCCTACGTGTAAGCTAAAGATTTCAGTTCAGCCACATGTGCGAATTAGACGAGGTGCTCGCGACGAACTTTGTTGTGCATAACAAAAAAAAAGAAAAAGATAACTGAGATTCTGCAAGGATATTAATATTTGTGTGGAGAATCACACGCTTAAACTGAGTGTTTAATTGCATCTCATCAAAAATAAAGGCATGTAAAAGATGAAGCAGCGATTTCGGGAAGCTAACAAGTTAAGAAGCTGAAATTTTACAAGTTTCAAGGCGTGCCTAGGCCTCGCGTTAAACACAATTAAATTTTTGGTTCTGACATCCATTTACGCTGCAACTAGGCCAAGCAGGAAGGCTCGAAATTTTGTGAGAGTTTTTAATATTCACGTGGAGGACTGTATTCATAAAATCAGCTCTAAAATACTATGAATACGGCGAACTTGATGATGCATTCTGCCGACAGCATGCAAAATTTACTGTATTCATACGTGCTTGAGATTCAGATTTCACACGGCCTATGCAACTCTATCGTCCCAACCGACGGCCAATTCCGCCTTACATGCAAGAAAAAGCAATAATATTGCTAACGTGAATGCACATGTTAAACTGGAAATAACAACCACTTATACTGTTAACGATCTGATTGCTTCAAACAAAAATACATTTTCGGCAGGTGTGTCGCTACCTGATTTTTAGGCTAAATTTAAAAGCATTTTAGCATCATGGGATTAGGATGTTGATAATTTCCTTGCGGCTAAACGAACGGCATGAGAAGTAAGTGGCTAAACTTTAATTTGGTTCTGGATATCTCGTGTGCACGCTGTGCATTTTGGGATCCTAGTGCAAAAATGTCCACAGGTCCGGCTGTTCCTGAACACACAACTTCAAGTATAAAGTACTGTGCAGATTATCTGAGCTTCTGTCCATACAATACTCAAGGGTAAAGGCGAGCTGTTAGTGCAAAGAAGCAGTTTGTCTCGGATGATTATTGCTGGGTGTTAACCGTTGATAATGATAGTAAAACGACTCGGAGTAATTTCGGAAAAAAGGAGCTTATACAGGATTTAAATCTTGAGAGTTAAGACAGTCCTGAATAGCCAAAAGTAAATAGAAGGGGCCGACATTTTGGAATGGAAGAATGAACCTTGCACACACGAATAATCTGTAGGGCATTTTTTTGTTTTTATGAAAGAATATGAGAAGACTCACTCGTATGAGGAACACAGAGAGATGTAGTTGATACGTCTCTACAAAAAACTGAAGAAAAAAAAAATCAGAAAAACCAATAACGGATCAGTATGTATGTGATCAAATGGCAACTGATTAAATTATATAAGTATGGATATGTGTATATGCAAATCGAAATTATAAAATGAGGCCAAAATCTGGAACTGACGATGCCCTCTCATGAAACTGCACTTCGTCTCATTTTTCCCTTTTTCTTCCATCATTTCAATACCCTTACCATTCTGCAGCATAAATTAACAACTCTCGGCTAAACTTGTTTTCCAATATCTGATCAAATTCATCTCAGTTTGCCAAGAAGCTCTCTCCCCGCCTCCAACCAGGATTATTTTTGTGTCTTTTGACTGCAGATCATTTTTTTAGATTATTCGAATTCCTTCAGTTGACTGAAGAAATTTTTCTGCGCTTAAGTTTATGCTCCTAAAATGAGACTTTCCAAATTCTGTAGCTATTTGGGACTTAATAAATTCTCTTAATTTCATTGTAGTATGCAATGAATTATTGCGCGAAAGCAAAGCGTGTGTGCCAGTTTACGTATTTTCCTCAGTGGAGGCCTTATCAGAGATTCCAAATCTTAAAATACTCTACTACAGACAAGCCTCATGCTATGCAAATGATGTCACTCATCGTTATGAAAAATGGTCCCACTAGCCAAGGATTACAAAGAAATGACTACGGAATAAAAAGTGGTGAAAAACCGGAAAGTCATGATTTGAAGTGCACTTCGTTTATTTCACAATACTAATAATTTATACGCAATTGATTTTTTTGAGTTATTATTGTAATCACTGATTCTGTTAGTCAGTCGGTAAAATACTATATCCCAGAAATACGATATCACAGTCTTAGAGTCGCAGCAGGATGGTGGTGCTACATACCAATGGAAGCTTGAAATGGCCGAAATCTTGCTAAATGCTTCTGCCAACAGAAGCAGCTTGCACAGGAAGTGAATGGAACTCTAGAATTACCAGCAGGCTGACTAGCTGTCAAAGCAATTTGAAAAGTTACTGGTGCACATTTGGGAAAGTTGACTATGAACTACAGCTGATCAATATATATTAATAGAGGGCTCGCACTATTCTAGCTAGCCTCATCAAAATTGGCAATGGTATTACTATACGAACATTCTCAGCAAATCTCCAAATATTAAAGAAAAATAATTTTTAAAAAAGGAAAAGCTGAAATGAGAAATGGCAAAATCCGTGTATACGCTTATGGTCCGCATTCAGGAGTGTAATGGACAGATGCTTCCTGGAGAATGAGAGGAACGGAAGGATTAGTGTAGTAGTTGTAGTGAAGGCACTAACATTTTCGTTTCTGTCTGTCTCGATCCTGTTTTCGGTGCATTATCATCGGCAGCATATTTGCGCTTTGACTTGGTTGAGCTCGTATTGGCAATCACAATAACAATATTGATAATAACAATAGCAACAGCAACAGTAATAGATTCTGGCCTGAATTTAACTTAGTTTGCATTAATGATAACGATAATGATCATGACAGCGATACGATTCCGCTTAATTTGACATTTATTAAGTTCCAGAAAGTGAATTTACTAAAAATCAAAAACAGAAATGAAAAAGTCGAAAATGAAATTTAGGGAAAATAGCGTGATGGAATGAAGATACTGACATTGCATGTTCCTTGGATTAGCGAAGTAGTACACTGGATTCAGCTTCTTTTTTCAGAGCTAATGTCCTGCGAGACAGAGAGCGCAAAAACAAAATACTTCGACTGCTAAACTTGAATTCCGTAATGAATTACTGGCACGTTAATATTTCTTTTCAATTACAATATTTAATAATTTCCAATTACTACTTTTTCATTGCAGTG